GAAATAACGGCTGAGATGCATCCTAGGAGGCCATGGAGAACCGACATAACAAAGAGGATGACAGGTGGGGCCCATAGGGGTCGAGCGGCCTCTAGGTGGGGCTGGCCGGCCCCACATGTCAGTGGGTCGAGCCCTGCTTCGGTGGAGAGCCTCCTAGAGTCTTCTGGAACCTTTCCACGTTGATCCCATGGTGGAATACCGTGATTTCCTTTGACGAACAGGTCCCCCTTGATAGTTTTCTGATTAAATCCTGCTGAAAATATAGATTCACCAAAACTCATGGCATTTGTCAGTTTAAACCTCTAAGTCTATATTGGTAATCTATTTTAGTCATTTATGCAAGGTATATTGATGGTTTGTGATAAATGTTAACTATCATCAACAATGATCGTCTCTGAAAGTAGCGATTTTTGAGAGACCTGAAAATCAATTTATAAAGATAGGTGTCCTAAGGCGTCCGTCTCTATGATTTTTAGAGACTATTGCCTTAAGACGGCCATCTTCACAGATGATTTTTAGGAGGGGGCATTTTCCTTATGCAAGTGTACCCAGATTCATTAATCAGAGAGCATGTTTTTTGGAAAAAAATTGATAAATAGTTAGCCAACAAAGAAGGGCATATATAGTTTCATTTTCTCGTAGAGTTTCATGTTTGAAGCATTTTCTCGTTCTCCATTGAGGCATGAAAATACCCAGATGATGGGTGGCACTGCATGTAGCGATAATGCGTCCCATCCACAATAATTGCTGCTAATGAAGGACGAAATTGACATCCAAAATATGCGAAGAAAAAAAATAGAGTAAGAATAGTATTTCGGGGAAATGAAGAAGTGCAAGAAAATTGATGCAAAATCAGGGAAGAAATGATGGGCGGTGGTTTTTATGAGAGTAATTACATTTTTTTTGAAAATGCCTTTGGGCAAGCTTTCATTCATCTAATAAGATTGTTACGTCATTTGATAAAATTGGAAAAATGAAACTAGGGGGTGAATCAACCCAAATACAAATAGCTTTAGAAACAAAAGCTTGCTGAGCTAATTCTTGAGCAACTTGGTTCGCTTCTCTATCACAATGCTCAATTGTAGCCATCGGGAATTCCATTCAAATGTTGTAGCATTCTTAAAAAATTGGGGCTGCTGTCGATTTATAAAGATGGGCTGCTGTCGTCCATGTATAAGCATGGCCTTGGCACCACACAAGCATGCCACATCCACCCTGCCCCTCCTCGAGCCCTATCCCTCTCTCCAACACCCACACCTGCAGCTGCCAGTACCGCCATTGACAAGTTCACGACCGAGCTCTCTCAATCTAACTGTTCTAGCCACCACGCACCCTCTCTTCTCCCTAGCTGGCATCATCATGAGACCCCGAGTCGACCTGGCTACTCCACACCATATCAATCTCAAGCCCGCACCACTGTTCTCGAGCTCCACCGCAAGCCGCCATGGCTGCAAGCCGCTTGCGCTAACCTAATTATCCTCTTCTCTACTGCTTCCCCGCTGACAAAACCTCCACCGGAAACTCATCATGTCCTCCTCTCTGCCTTCTGCACTCGCCATCAATCTTCTGCCATCGGAGCCCGTATCCCTACTGACTCTGGCGAGGTTGCCACTGTGGGGAGCCCGTTTCGCTCCATGTGCTATGAGCTAGCAAGGGTGCCGCCTTCCAGCCGTTGAATCTAAAACCCACGGCCAAGATCTTCCCTTGACCGGAGTCAACATCGAGTCAAAGTGGAGGCCACATCATCATCTCCGACCAATCACCTCTCGCTAATTGTCTAGTCGACCTCCACATCAGTAGGTCGAACTCCAGTCACCAGCATTTTACCATCTACCCCCTGCCTTTTCTAGAATCAAGTAGCTGTTCTCTGAGTCCGTACAATCTTTCGAGCTAGCCCCTGATGTCTACCCTTAATTCTGTATTAGACCAACCAGAAATGAAAATGAGTTTAGTTTGTTTTAAAAATGTGTTTTATTTAATAAAATTGTTCTTAAATGGCATTTTTGCCAATGAACATTTTAGAATTTATAAAATAATTGTGTGGACCAAAAAATTCACATTTTGGTACCTAGTTTTGGAAAATAATTACAAATAAATCCTTTTATTTACAAAATTGCCCCTAAAACTTCAAAATCTCATATCTTTTTAATTGTATCTCCGTTTTTGTTAGTTTTTGCACTCACGTGATCGTAGAAATGAGCTCTACATGTTAGTAACTGTTATAGTATGTATTTTTAATGCTTGGTGTTTGCTGCGAGTAGAAGAGAACTGTATGTAATCACTGGAGGCTGGAAGTTGCAGAAGAGGAGACCGTAGAATTTCTATGAGAAGTTGCCTTGAGTGGAAAGCAAGTGTAAAAGGCAAGTATAACATGAGATCATCCTTGTTACCTATTCACTGTTAACTATTTAAATCATACTGCATGTGTCTACCTTATTACCACTAAGGATTTCCTAGCTTTGTACTTGTACCTTGTCTCCTATGGGTTTATGCATTGGTTAGTATGATGCTAGTGCTCAATTTTTTTTGCAAGGCGCTAGTGCTCAATTAAATACCATGATCTTGTAACTTAACTAATGGAATACGCAATAAACACTAAAAGATGATTTTTAGCAACAAGGAACAACGGGGCTAGAGCACAATTTTTGTGGTGCTCTAGATTCCTCTCTTTAAGGACTTTTTTTTGTAAGTGATCATCCGGGACTTACAGTGCAACCATGATTGTTATATGGGTCTTGCTTTAGTCAAGTATGAGGATCTTTTCTAGCTTATTAGTGGTTACCGAAAGGAGCAAAATGGGCTTGACACGATGGGTGTAGTATGGCGTCTGTTCCTATGTATGCTTCTATGCGCTTGTGCCATATCGAAAGGGGGCTCTATATCTGCTTGCCAGAAAACCTAGCGGCCACTAACTTGTTAGATGAACCTTTGAAAGACTTCATAGTGAACCCTACCGACCTTCCTTGGAAGTGGGTTAAGAGGTTGGCCGCCTCGGGCGAAAGGGTAAATCACAGCTCATGGTGAAAATATACAACCTCTACAGAGTGTAAAACTATTATAATATGCGTGCTCGTGGTCACAAGCAGCCTTGGACTCCTTATGCAATAGATGATCACTTATACTTATTGTTTATCTCTCTACATTATTCTTGTTTACATGATTATGTGGTTATATGGACTTATGCTAAAATTATTGCAACTCAATTGCTAAAATTATGATTCACTAAAAGCGAATCGCAGTAAACTAGTGTCAACCTTTTGAGGCTCATGAACCCCATGTTATATTTGTTGAGTACGACATATACTTACGCTTGCTTTATATTCAAAACTTTGGACAAAAAAACCCGGATGTGTAACAGAAGATGGAGCTGGTTAAAGTTTTTGAAGAGTGCTAGGCGTATGTACCCCTAGTCAAATGTTTCTGTGGTGTTTGGAGGCCGATTAGAATTTATGTTTCCGTTACTCTGATAAATATCTTGTCTCTATGTAATATTGTTGTTCGTTATATAATAAAGCATTGTCTCTTTATATTATTGTAATTTGTTGTCTTATGTGTGTGACTGATTCCTGAGAACACATAGCATTCTACGTCCGATTTTGTCCTTAAAATTGTGTGTGACATCAATTAATATTGTTATTGGGATGGAAGATGACGAACGGCTATCCAACTAGTTGGTTTTCTCTTAATATTGTTATTGGGATGGAAGATGACGAATAGCTATCGATGGACAGACGTATTTAGACGGCAATATGAATTGGATGGTTTATAGATTACTAGTTAATGACATAGATCGCTATCTGATAAGATGAACCTTGCAGTAGAGTTTTGCGTTATAAGGAATATAGATAGGTTAATCTTATCTTATACAATTATTACTACTTAGAGGCTTCAACAGAGCCTTAATATTAATTCTCACAAGACACACTAGTAAAAATATGAATCCTAGAAACATTTTGCCTTTAATATGAAAGACCTTGATTATTGCCGTCAACAATAATCTTTAGATCTATTTTTTAATAACTTTTTTTTTGGATGAAGTCAACCCGGAGGGTCCCCCACCTGTATATATATTGAAATTTGGCCCTTATGGCCCGATGTCAAGGATACAACATATTGAAATCTATTCACCTATGTCATTATAAAAAATACATAAAAGGTATGATTGCCTAACAACTTGGACGAAACCTGGCGCGATGTCCATCTTGCCTATGAATTGGAAAAGGTCCATATGTATATGTATCTTTGTATATAGGTAGAGATATATACTACTGGATTTGTCTACCTGGCAACTAAATGTTTTGGAAGCTCCTAACAACTGATTTTTGCCCATATATTTACATTATCTTTTAGCTATATTTATATTGTCGTATTACTATATTTACAATGATTCTTCAATGAACAGAGTGATGTAATTTGAGGATAACACAACTTCTATTTCTACGGATTGCAGATCTCAGAGAAATAAATGCCAAATTTTTCAAAAAAAATTATAAATTATTTTTATGGATTGCAGATATCAGAGAAATATACATCAAACTACTCAAAAAATTATAAATTGTTCACAAATTATGGTGGGACCTCTCCTTATCCCTTCCCTTCCCTTCCCTTCCCCTCCCCTATTGTCAAGAAAGTGGTGCATACTGGTCCTCGAGATTTCCTATTGTCATCTTGCAAAGCTTCCAAGCTGAGCAGCATCGAATCACACAGGCAGGTGTACGACGCAAGGTTCCATGTCCATATCGTAGACACAGTCTTGCCGTCCTTGCAAACATTTCCTAATATCCTCACGGTTCCTTCCAAGTACTCGCTTCTGCTTCTCCCAACAAAAATCGCCGGCCTTGTACGTATACGGCTTTAATCAATTTGCAGACACGAACGGTGATCGAAAAGCCAGCCGTCTCTAACAATGAGCTAGTGAATACACGCGCTGATCTTGTCTTGTATAAAAGGACCCCATGCATGGATGCACAGGCAAACTACATTAGAGCAAGCCCGCAGCAATGGAAAGCTTCTACTGCAAGCTGTCCTTGCTCGTCATTCTTATGCCCTGTGTTCTCCTTGCTACTTCAATCGTTGCCGAGGAGTTGACAACGACCGGCGATGACGATCTTCGCACGTTCATCGTCCACGTACAGCCTCCGGAGAAGCACGTGTTCGCCATACCAGACGACCGGACGGCGTGGTACAGGTCGTTCCTCCCGGAGGACGGCCGGCTTCTCCACGCCTACCACCACGTCGCCAGCGGCTTTGCCGCCCGGCTGACGCAGCGGGAGCTCGACGTGCTGTCCCGCACGCCAGGCTTCCTCGCGGCGCAGCCGAACGTGGCTTATCAGCTGCTGACGACGCACACGCCTCGGTTCCTCGGGCTGGACGTGCCACAGGAGGGCGTGAGCGCCATAAACCACAGTGCTTCAGGGTTTGGCGACGGCATCATCATCGGCGTGATCGACAGCGGTATCTTTCCCTACCACCCGTCGTACAGCGGCGATGGCATGCCGCCACCGCCGGCAAAGTGGAAGGGGCGCTGCGACTTCAACGGCTCGGCGTGCAACAACAAGCTCATAGGCGCGCGGTCTTTCGAGTCCGACCCCTCACCGCTCGACAACGACGGCCACGGCACGCACACGTCGAGCACCGCGGCGGGAGCGGTCGTGCATGGAGCCCAGGTGCTCGGCCAGGGCCGCGGCACCGCTTCAGGGATAGCGCCACGCGCTCACGTCGCCATGTACAAGTCGTGCGGCGACGAGTGCACCAGTGCCGAGATGCTCGCCGGCGTCGACGCGGCTGTGGGAGACGGCTGTGACGTTCTCTCCATATCTCTCGGCGATACCTCGCCGGACACACCGTTCTACCAAGACAGCCTCGCGATTGGCACGTATGGCGCCGTCGAGAAGGGTGTCTTCGTCAGCATCTCAGCTGGCAACAGCGGTCCAAATGCCAGCACGCTGATCAACGACGCGCCGTGGATGCTCACCGTCGCGGCGAGCACCATGGACCGTTTGATCGGTTCCCAGGTGCGTCTCGGTAACGGCCTCTCGTTTGACGGGGAGTCGGTGAACCAGCAAGAAATCTCGGCGGCCGTCTTCTACCCGCTGGTCTACGCGGGTGCCAGCTCGACAGCCGACGCCCAGTTCTGCGGCAACGGCTCGCTGGATGGCTTCGACGTCAAGGGCAAGATCGTGCTCTGTGACCGTGGCAACGGCGTCGCGAGGCTTGCCAAAGGTGCCGAGGTGAAACGAGCCCGAGGCATCGGCATGATCTTGGCCAACGAGTTCCCCGACGGTTACAGCACACTCGCCGATGCCCACGTCCTCCCGGCTTCGCATGTCAGCTACGCCGCCGGAGAGGCCATCAAGAAGTACATCAACTCCACGGCGAATCCGACGGCGCAGATCTTCTTTCGGGGCACGGTTCTCGGCACGTCGCCGGCACCGGCCATCACTTCCTTCTCCTCGCGCGGGCCGAGCCAGCGCAATCCCGGCATCTTGAAACCGGACATCACGGGCCCCGGCGTGAGCGTACTCGCGGCGTGGCCGTTCCAGGTCGACCCTGCATCCTCGTCGGCGAATCCCAGACCGACCTTCAACTTCGAGTCCGGCACGTCCATGTCGGCACCGCACCTTGCCGGCATCGCGGCACTGATCAAGAGCAAGCACCCGTCCTGGTCACCGGCGGCGATCAAGTCAGCTATTGTGACAACAGCTGACCCCATCGACCGCTCCGGAAACCCGATAGTGAACGAGCAACATCTGCCGGCCGACTTCTTCGCGACGGGCGCCGGCCACGTCAATCCAGTCAAGGCCGTTGACCCCGGCCTGGTCTACGACATCGCCCCCGACGACTACGTGCGCTTTCTCTGCAGCGTCTACGCGAGCCGGGACGTGTCCGTCATCGCGCGGCGCGCCGTGGACTGCTCGGCCATCAGGGTGATCCCAGACCACGCGCTGAACTACCCCTCCATCTCGGTCGTGTTCCCACAGGCGTCGAACTCTACGGCCAGTCCGGTGGCGGTGGTGCACCGGACGGTGAGGAACGTCGGCGAGGCGCCGGCTGTGTACTACCCCTATGTGGACCTGCCGTCGGGCATGGTGCACGTCGAGCCGAGGTCGCTGCAGTTCACGGGGACGAACCAGGAGCAGAGCTTCACAGTGTCCGTGCTGCGAGGGCAGAGTGGTAACGCGAAGGTGGTTCAGGGCGCGCTCCGGTGGGTGTCCGACAAGCACACCGTGAGAAGCCCTATCTCCATCACATTTGAATGATCAGCAGAGTCGCAATTGGGTTCGATGCTCTTGGATGCTCTGCAGCCACTTCCACCTAATCCAAAGGTTGTTCGTTCTTCGTGCAGATTTTATATCATTTTGTTTCTTTTTCAGTCAGTTCGTAAACGTATGTCCATTTGTTTTTTCTCTAATAGTATGTCCTTTTGTCAATTTAAATTATACTAATATAATGGTGGTCCCGCACTGTGAGAGCTATCTTTGATGTTTTAGATTGGCTATATAAACATGTATTTGTTCGAATGTTCTGACGAGAGCCATATTTATCTATCCAACTATCCAAGCCATGCTCCTACACGAGTGGCAATTCTAAGATACAGATTTTCGAAAGGCTATTCTAAGATACAGATCACCAGTTCCTAATTAGGATACCTACTAATTTTAGATTAATCTCGAGTGTACATTCGTTAGTTAGCAGATGAGGAGACCATTCGCCCTTGACAATGAAGAGCCTGTGTGACGTAGGCATTGGTGCAGGAGGTGATGTAGGTGAGATCCGTAGTGGTACGGTCGTCGCCAGCATCCTCCTGATGGACGGCAACGTCCTCTAGGCGGCGGTGGCAGTAGCGGTAAGTGTCGGAGTAGCAGAAGGAATCAGTCGATGACGGCGGCCTTCCTGTTACTCCAGTGTTCGGATAGATTGAGTGGGGGGGGGAGTGGGCTGTGCACCATGATGTCCATGATGTCCACACCTTCCTCGTGCTATCCATTATCGATTGGCTATGGCTAGTAGATATCGACAAAATCAGCTCACAGGAGCTTCAGCAACACACGCCCCCAACCTCACCATCACTGGATACACCATGAATCGGCAACCCGACCCTCCCATCGTTGCATCTCCCCTGGTCATCAACCTTCTTCTTCTCCCCTGGCGGCCAACAATGCATCTCCTGCGAAGCTGAATGCAAGGGTGACTCATGGAGACTCCCTTGTGCATAGCATCTTCAAGAAGGACATGCTCCTCTCCACTGGTAATTTAGGAATTTTTATGTTGCAATATAAGATTTTCAATGACGATTGGTCATTTATGATGTTGTAATTTTGACTTTTTTCTGTTTATACTATGATGTATGACATTTGCTATTTCATGATGTTGCGGCTGTGATATTGTGATGCTGCAACTATTGATTTTTAGATGTTACATCATCTTTATCCGTGCAACATTTGTTTCATTGTGAGATGTTACAAGAGTTCTTTCTGTTTGTTGCGCGAGGAGTTTTTCTACTGTTGCAGGAAACTAACTAGCATGTTGGAGTATTGCATCTCAAATGTTGCAAAATCTTATATTGTCGCAATGGAGGTTTTAATTTGTTGCACAAGAACATAATTCATGTTGTAGTAAATATTTTGTTTTGCTTTAGTTCTAATCGACTACTTTATGGTCACAAGCTCGATCTCCATTTCTCCCCCAAATTTTTCTGCTGGGAGACTCATCCTACGTGGCTACGCCTGTGGCCGTGTTGATATTTCTTAACGCATACAGAAATAATCCGCAAGCGCACGGAATTACCGTTGTAGCATTTCACCCGGAAGTATTCAGGGTATCGCATTTTCCGCAGGGAACGGAGGTATTCTTCTAGCTAGTTCGTCCAAGGACAACACAAGGGTAGAGTTGGTAAAGGTTGAGATGGATGTCTTTGGTTATAGGGTTTATGGATAGATAAACTCTACTTCTACTTGCTCACTTCGGGCGCTGGCTTACACCTGGTCTGCCAAGCGATTCCGGCCTTCGCTCTACGTCGAACCTGGACGTGGGGGAGTACGAAGGATGGATAGGGCTATCACCACCAGCCGCCTACCCCTCAACTATGGGGAACGAAGCAAACGAAGGTAGCCTCTAGCCTAGACACCACGTCTACGCTATCGACTATTACTCTAGTGTGTATACAAGGGTTATCTGTCTCTATCAGAGCCCTTCTACTAGTGCATTCGCCGCAAGGGCGAACGACGATCCTGCAAAGAAGTAAGAATAAAGCTTAACTAATCAAAAGACTTTATACCATAGAAAACACGAACACTCACTTAGCGGGAGAACCCATTGAAGTAAGATGCTCGTCGAGGTACAAGTTGGGGAGACACCGACAAGTTCGGCGCTTTCCCGAGCTCCCCCTCATATCTCTCCCTTACAACTCTAGCTAGCTACTAGGGCCTAAGCCCCTTTAGAGTGTTGCTCTAACTCAAGTGAGGTGTGCTCTTCTCCCTTGTGGTGGTGTGTTGAATGAGAGGGAGTGAGGGGGTATTTATAGGTTGAGAGGAGGAGTGGAGGCCACTCAATGCGCCATGTCAATGATCCATGTGCCTCTTCACCAGAGCCCTTGGATCAAACCATCATAGGATGGATGGTGGAGATGGAGTGGAGTTGTGTTTCCTTGCATGCCTTCCTATCTTGAACAAACCACCATCCTCCTTGCCAAGTCTTTTGCAAAGCACATGCAACCAACGTTTGGATAGGTGGCATGAGCCAGCTGACCAAAGTTCAGGCCGAACGGAGCTAGTGAGGGGTCGGGCAACCCCTGATGTCGGCCACCCCCAACTAAGGCCAAATTGTCCCATCTTTGGTGGGTGATCTCCTCTGGGCTTCTAGAGTGGGCCTATGTAGTGCTTTCGCGGAGATAAGGTGATTTGATCTAGGTTTGCCCATATTTTCCTCTCTTTTGGGTCCTGTTTTGCCTAGCTGTGGGCCTCCTCCCCCTTTGGGTGTCTATAATATTGTATTTCTTGTATACTTTAGGCCAATTTTTGTACAATCCCAACATGTCCTTGTGCAAATGAATAATCACCAAAACTCGTGGAATTGATTAGTTATAAGTCCTAATTCTAAGTTTGGTATTTATTTTAACAGTTTTTTATACGAAAGTTGGCTATTAGAAATTCTAATTAAGGACCGCCAACAAGCTCCCCCACACTTAGCCCTTTGCTCGTCCTCGAGCAAAGCTTAGAGATGGAGGTAATCATGAGCATAACGTCCTAAGATATATGGTTTACATAAGAGTTATTCCAACACATTCCTTACACAAGTGGGATTTATGGCGTTAGCTAACATGTTTCCTTAGGTTGTTGAAAAGTGGAACAGTTCTCGAAACAAAGTTATCTTCCAATTTCATATCTTAGTAACTTGGAGTTTTGAAAGTTTCTCTTAAAAAAAGCATAGTTCACTTTGTACTCCTCAAATGGCACTCTCAAATCACTCAATTATGTATAAGTCCTTACCAAGGCATAGCAATGTTTTGCTTTCTCCTACTTCTAAAAAGGTTTATGTGGAGCTTTAGGTAGGGATGAATAATATAGCATACCTGTATTGCATATGTTGTAAAGTCAAATCGAGGATCTAAGGAGAGAAGTGACATACTCTTAGATCAAGATGTGCATGTGTGTGAAAAAGGGTAAACTAAAACTATACTCCTTTTGTAGATGTGATCTCTCTTTATAACTTATTATTTTGAAACATGACTATCTTTCTTTTTTTCAATACATGAGCCTTCATGCGCTCATCATTTTTTATTTTGTGCTTGGACCTTCATGTGACCATATTTTTTTACTTGGACCTTTATGTGTCCATATTTTAAAGCTTTTTGCATAGCCAATGTTTCTCCTTCTAAACCACATATTTGGAGAGAGATCTTTATCTTTTTAGAACATGGAGTATTTGCCTAACAAACAAAATTTTGTCTACTCCCATTGTAGGGGCAGAATCTTTGGTGGATGGAGGCATGTTTTTGCGTACTCCCAGTGTAGGAGCAGCATACTTGTTCCTTAGGAGGAGATAGCAAAGATAAATTGAGTTTAATTTTAGTGATCAAGATTTATGTTTGTTCAAACTCAAAATTGTAGGAAGTTGAGGGCAGAGTTGCACAAACCATCGTTGAAGAGGAAGGAGCTAAGTCAGAGGTGGTTTGGCTAAACCAAAAGTTTAGGCAACCCTCTCTGGGACTATCTGTCTATCCTTCTTGCATATTGGATCGTTCGATGTTTGTGCAAGATTGTGTTGGTGGCAGATCTCTAATGTGTGTTCATCATGCTTGAGAGATCTACCCCACACTTATTCTTGTACCTATTTTATTTGATAAAGAGAAACAAAAGTGGAAACAAGCAAAGGCTCTACCAGTTGAAAACATTGGGGAGCCTTAATTTTATTATAATCATTATTACTTTTATTATTTTTTTATTATTACAAATTTTTTTCTATTTTTTCTTTTTATGTGTTTGTAACACCCCGGTGTTATGCCTGCATTTAGGCACTGCAAATCACGCATCTCATGCATCATCAAGCATCCAAATCATACATGCTTAATCGTGTGAATAACAATTGAAATATCGCCTTGAAACATGGGAAACATGACTTTGAAACAAAAGTATCATTTCAGTTGTTTTTCATCGTTTTAGTGCATTCTGTGCTTGATTCTTGCGTGACCAATGTGTGGTATGGCTAAATATATTTTTAAACACCTTAGCTATGCTTAGAAAGTCATTAGGAACAATGTTCATGTTGATCATTTTGCCCAATTAAGATTTCCAATCATGGTTTGACTTGTTTTGACCCTAGGACTTTTTGGTTTGACTGTTTAAAAAGTACCACTTAGAATGTTTGCATGTCAGAGCAACCTAAAACAAAGTTGTAGCAAATTACATGAGGAACAAAAGTTATTTTGTGACCAAGTCATGAAAATGTGCACAACAGGCTCAAAATGGTCCCACAAGTCAGAATTTGGGTTGATTTCAACACTTAGCAATTTCTAAGTATAAATTCCAGTTTTCAGTTTCTTGAACACGACTTTGGCATGATTTTACTCTCAGTCCTTTGCGAATTAGCTTAAGATTTCTATAGAACAATTGTAGCCCTAACATAGCTTTGCAACTTTCATGTATACGATTTGCACTGATTCGCCACGATTTGGGAGATCTAGCGCTGTCAAGTAACGCTGTCAGTCAACTCGTTGTTTCAACTGATTGACTGAAATTTTGAACTCGGCACAGTGCCGACC